CTAAGGCACTTGACTGCTAACCAGAAGGCTGGCGGTTCAAACCCACCAGCCACTCCTCGGAAGGAAGATGGGGCAATCTACTTCCATAGTGATACTGCCACAGAAACCCAAAGAGGGGTCGCTATGAGTTGAGTCTAACTCGATGGCACATAATAACAATGTATATCAGGCATGATACTAAAATTACTAAAAGTAATTACATTATTTCACTGAATTTTCACAATCACAGTCCGAGAATATTCTCACTCCATTTTCCAGGCAGGGAAAGTGAGATTTAGGATTTAAGTAATTTGCCTATGATCACCCAATTAGTACGTAGCAAGGTCATCATCTCACAACTTTTAGCAACTAAATTACACTATGTTTGAAATGGATATCTACAAGAAATAACTGAGACATTCCAAGTGATTTAAATAAAGGAAAAACTTTTTGAATACATATACAAATATATCCCAGTGCTCAATTTTAAATATTATAGTTAATAAGAAAATCAATGACTCCATTTTAACCATCTTAATAAAAGGGATTGACATTTATTGTGAGCCTATGATTTCATCATCACTGAAGATACTGAAACATTCATTAAATGAGCAACAAACAGTAGTATCAGCACACATTTATTTTTGTCCTTCATCCTCTACATTACAAGTCACTACAGACATACATACAATATGCCTATAAAGAGTTATCTAATTAACCTCTTCATTCTTTGAGTAGTTTTTGGCACTAATGTAATTTTTACTTATTTAATATTCACCAAAGAAAATAAATATAATTTTCTGTACCATTATTTTTGGTAGGAAGGTTGGGCAATCTACTTCCGTAGTGATACTGCCTTGGAAACCCAAGGAGGTGTCGCTATGAGTCAGATCCGATTCCATGGCAGTGAGTTTGGTTTTTTATTTTGGTATCATTATTTTTTTAATTCTACAAATATTCCAAGTATCAATTATGTGCAAAACATTCAACTGGGCCCCTAAGACTAAGAGGACAGATACAGTGAGAGCAGATCTTGCCCTCCAGAAGACGAGTGACAGCTGAAGGGAGACAACACATAAACAAGAAGTTATATAAAGCAAATGAAATAATATGTGAAATAGAAACATACAGCACAAGATGGGGATCACCAAAGAAGCTGCAATTAATTCTTACTGGGGTAGCCAGGGAAGACCAGATGAATAAGGCGGCAGTGGAGACTATGGAAAAAGAATAAGCAAAGGTAAAGAGGCATGGGACTTCATGGTGTGCTCTCCAACAGACTATGGACAAGAGTGTGACTAGGGCAAAGCGTGCTGGAGTCACGTACCAGGAAAGCAGACCTTCTAGAACCTGGTCCCAATCCCCTTGTCAGCTTGGCCTTCCACTACTTCTCTTCACATGTTATGCTCCACCTAAATCAGACTCTGACACTCCCTGAACAAACTCCACATCTGCCTATCACTTCTTGTCTCTGAACACACCTTATACTTATCTGCTTGCTACTCTTTCTGCCAGGAATCTATCTCCATTAAGCCTTTCCTGATCCATCCAGCTGGAAAAAACCTTTCATCTATGTTTTGGTCATACCTATCTTACTTTGCTACTTATCCACTTTTGCATCAATATTATCCTCTTAATCAGACAGTAAATTTCTTAAAGCAGGTACAGCCTTATACATCTGTAATCTACTCACTCACTCAATGACTTTTTTAAGCATCTACAAGCCAGGTACCAAGCTGGATAAAGATGAGGAAGATATGGCCCTTGCCCAAAGGAAGTGCCATCTGCTCACAGCATAAAGGAGAGGTAAGAGCATAGGCCTTTAAGCCAAAATGCCTGATTACCTACATAACTTAACGTTCTCCATTGTCTACCTACATAATTTAACCTCTCTGAACTTCAGTTTCTGTATCTCTGAAATGAAGACGATAACATCAACGTCACAGTGTTGTGAACAATGTGAACACTCTATTTTTCCCTCTCTGTTTGACACATTGTGAGTACTCGGGAAATATTTGTTCAACTAAACACTATGTTACTTATTCACCAAGAAATGAGTATTTTCAATTAATCAAAGGAGTTAGAAATAATAGGGAAGTTGTTCCTACAATGAAACTCTGAATTTCTAAAATAAGCAATAACAACAAAAAGCACTTGGTAGTCAATGGTAGCTATATGAAAAGATCTGTGTATTAGAGGAAAGTCTTTGGAATTTCTTTTGAAGTATACAATTTTCCAAAAGCCCTCACAGCACCCAGGTACAGTGGCACTTAGTCCCTTGGACTCTACCTTTACCCATTGAAGAAAATGTGTGTGATCAATGCAATGGTAGTTGCCATTTGTTTGTACTTCTAATGCAACTTTCCTTGTACCCAAAAAACTGAAGACCAGTTCATCCTCCATGAGAGACTTCTTACACAGCAGTA